GTCGGAAGCATTTCCGTGGTGGTCACTAATTTTGAGTGACGGTCGGGGCCGACCGACGTGGCGAACAAAGATTTTTCACATCTGATATTGGCATGTCAAATATGAAATCAAGCGCCGAGGTGGGAACACATAGCGCCGAGGTCCCAAGTGAAGCGCCGAGATTCACAGGTATAGCGCCGCGGACCTCTGCGCTAAAAAGCCCTGGGGAGAACCCTGCATTTGAGATAAATTGTTTAAACTCACCAACCTACATTTCAAAGACATTCAACTCGACTTGATTTCAAAGTGTACAGGTTTACTGGCCATTCACAATATTGCAATGTACTTTAATGTCTACTAACACTTGTAGCATGTAGAGTATGCTGAGGATAGTTCTAAAGTATACAGTAGTTGTCTACCACTCTAGCACCGAAGAGGCATCTCAATTTTATCTACCTCCATACATACAATATTAACACAATATTGGTGTTGTATTGCCAAGAACTGGAGGGTGGTTAAATATTCTCACCCGATACTAGAGGAACACCATTGAGTATGAAATGCTCATCTAAAATTTACTATTCACAAAATACTGATCTGCATCTATAATATTTAACCCTTCTGACAGCACCTTTCAAGATTAATGCTTACCTTTACTAATACAGCACATTTCATTTCAGATCAACTGGAAATCAAATTATAGAGAAGAATTAAATAATGCACGTGGAGATGAATCTCAATTTAATAAATGTGTAACGCTACCCTCAGTGGATTGGCTCTGTATTTACTCATCATAGAAACAGTTAAAGACAAGTCATCACTGGGTAGAAGAGAAACTAATTGGTGAATATTACTATAACTTACTGTGTTTATAAGTTGGTTTCTCAGATGCAATCTTGCTTCATAAACATGCAGCAGAAGGCTTTGATCTTGCATTTAAAATGCAAAAAAAAAAATTGTTAATATCAGTAATACACAGAACATTAAATTAGGACATTGTTACTTGTGATCACATTCAGAATGATGTTTCTTTCAGACACCTACCAAGGTAGGACATTATTCAGTACAGGTCTATGAATATTCATCATTAGTGACCAGATGAAATTGACAAACTGCAGCATTTATTTTGAGAGCAATCAGTCCACAACATAGAAGTTAGATTAAAACAAATCTGATTAGAAGTCCATCATGGGCACAAACAATCTTGCATAAAATTAGAAAAATTTAATATACCTTTTTAATCTGGTACACGAATTTCACTGACCTAAATGCTGTAGAAAATAAATGCACAATTGTTTAAAACTAGCAGTAATGTACAAACGTATAGAATACACGAAAAAACATTTCAAGGTGTGGGATTACAAAATCCATGAATATTCAGAACAAAATACATTCAGAGCAGGAAGCATTAGCTCATTTGTAACCGAGAAACTGCAGAATTGAGAGCAAATTAAGTTTAGTCTAGAGACATTTGCAACAGCACTTTGCGAGAGCTCAGTAGCTAATACATAGGTAATCAATATGACAATGTCAATCATACGAACGAGACAATTATTTCATCATGGCTCCTTGCATGTGCATCTCAAGTTGTCAAACTTGATTGGTATCAAATCCAATACAAATGTGTTTTTACAAGTTAAATTCCAACATGAAATATTTGCAATCTGCACACAAGCATATCAAATGCATGCTGAACACTACTAACATTTTAATTTTTCATAATCTCAAATTTAACAGGAAAAATTTGTTTTAAAATGCAAATGAAATGAAACTACTCTTAGAAGTAGATATATACTTACCATTTCACTCTTCATACTTGAGCAACTTTTCCTACATGATTAAAAACAAAATTTTGTAATTGGAATGTGATCTTGGCAAGTCAAAAAACAGAAAGGGATTGTCATGCCACTCAGTACTGGTTGGATTGGAACAAGTTTTCTTCACCATTCTAATGAACTCTAAGCGAGCTAGGGTTATGTTGGTCATCATAGTGGCACAAGAAATCTCAATTTATTCAAATGAGCACCTACCATGTTACTACATAGTTGCAACATCGCACTTTATCTGACCTACAATAAATGCATACCCACATTTTGTCAGAAGTAAACTTACCAGATTACACGAGTTTTCATTACCACTGCATAACCAGTACACATTACAGAATCAACACTGCAAAAACAATTCAAGACAATTTCAAAATTAGACTGTCCAGAGAATCAGAGTTTGTTTTCCCAGTTAATTATTTTTATTGGTCTCAGAATCATACTTTGGTCAACAAAATAATTCAGATATATGCTTGTCTATGATAATTCATCACTGACCAGAAATCTTTGCTTCATAATGGCTTAGCTATTTTTTACCTGACCATTAGGTTAGCCTGTCATTGAAATGGCCACTATTATAAATTACAAAACCTACCTGAAAATAATCTTCTGCATTTAACCTTCTCGTGAACCATTTTCCAGCTAGTCCCTAGACTAGGGGAAAAAAAATTACAGGATTAGAAAATTGTGACGAGAGTGAATGAAATTATTTTTAGGGATACCAAAGCCACTCAGTACTGGTTGGATTGGAACAAGTTTTCTTCACCATTCTAATGAACTCCAAGCGAGCTAGGGTTATGTTGGTCATCACAGTGGCACGAGAAAGCTATTAAGACTGGGCAAGATGGAAAAAAAACCTTAAGTATTTTTACCTGTTCATTAGGTTAGCCACAAAGATTCTGCAACATCGAAACATTTCAGTCTGCCACACCTTACCATAACTGGGAATATATTGAAGAATTTTCTCACAAACGACATTCACGGAATATAATAGGTCATTACAT